GAGAGGAGAGAGAGAGAGAAGATCTCTCTCTCTCTCTCTCTCTCGCTCTCTCTCTCTCTCTCTCGCTCTCTCTCTCTCTCTCGCTCTCTCCTCCTCTCTCTCTCTCTCTCTCTCTCGCTCTCTCTCGCTCTTCTCTCTCTCTTCTCTCTCTCTCTCTCTCTCCTCTCTCTCTCTCTCTCTCTCTCGCTATCTCTCTCGCTCTCGCTCTCTCTCTCTCTCTCTCTCGCTCTCTCTCTCTCTCTCGCTCTCTCTCTCTCTCTCTCTCTCTCTCTCTCTCTCTCTCTCTCTCTCTCTCTCTCTCTCTCTCTCTCTCTCTCTCTCTCTCTCTCCTCTCTCTCTCCTCTCTCTCTCTCTCCTCTCTCTCTCTCTCTCTCTCGCTCTCTCTCTCTCTCTCTCTCTCTCCTCTCCTCTCTCGCTCTCTCTCTCTCTCTCTCTCTCTCTCTCTCTCTCTCTCTCTCTCTCTCTCGCTCTCTCTCGCTCTCTCTCTCTCTCTCTCTCTCTCTCTCTCTCCTCTCTCTCGCTGCTGTTTTTGCCTTGTTTTTCCCTTCCGCCTTCTCTTTCCTCCTTTGTTGTTGGTTGATGGAGTGATCACCTCTACCATTTATTTCATTTAGGATCCTCCGTAATAAAGTTTTTCCCGCATCCGCTTCACACACATTGGACTCGAAAGCAAAAACACAAGAACATTACATATGGTGATAATAACGGCACTATAGATTCATCTCGATCACATGCAGTCGCGTGCAGTCATCTTGCCTACAGGTAAGCGACTAGACCGTTCCTAAAGGCCAAGTCACTGGATGCCTGGCGAACGTCTGATGACAGCCAATACCACGTGTGAGTCGCTCGGGAAAAAGTTATCGACGCAGGAAGGTGCGCACTTGCTTGAGTTGTATCATACTGTCAGCTGTGGCCCAGGTGGCGCGTGAAGAGGCCGGGGCGCTATGAAAGGCCATTTCTATAAGTTTAGCAGGATCGTCTAAGCACCGGACGGGTATCAGCGTGACACTGGAGCTGGTCGTGGCCGCCTGCGTGACGGTCCTCGAAGCTTCGATACTCCTCGACGTCAGGGCCGAGGATGAGGACGAACCGGAGTTGCACGAGATATACGCACCCATCGTCCATGAGGTTCGGGAGCACGTGGGGCGCAGGACCATGTACAAACAGGTGGTATTTCCCACTCTGGGCAGGCCGTGTATTTGGTCTTCTGGAAGAGCATCGTCTAGGACATTAGCCACACCGGTCTGAACGACAGGGTGTACCACAAGCAGGCACAAACGACATCGTCCCCATCGGTGACGGCATTTTGTCCATACACCGAATGCTACCCGGAACAAAGGGATTAACTGCACGGTGTCGACGGGCCAGAATACGGCATGTTCACCTACTCCCCCGCCTCGCGCCGAGCTTTCTAGCACTGGTCTGCCCAAAACGTACGACTGCGACCTCTGGAAGGCTGGCTCCACCTTCATAGTCACCGCCTGTCTTACCGGCCCAAGGACAACTTCTCCACCGTTCAGCTTCGACTGCTCCGATCTGATCTGGAGCTTGCGATGCTGTCGACGGACCCTTCTCCCTTGAAAAGGTTACACACTGCGGACGGGCCCTGCGAGAGTACCTTGCTGGCGTTCACTTCACAGCGTATCTGCGCACATCTTTCCCGCCCGCGCACACCTTTCCCGTTTTCCCACCGTAAGGCAGGATCATGGATTTCCGCTGGTAAAAGTTACGGAGGAGTATGGCCGCTGAACACCATTCCTGGAAACCAGGATGTAGCTTCGCCGAAAAGGTTGGGGGAGGGATGAACGGTGAAAAATGACGAACCCATCCATAGAAATGCGCCAGCAATCGGCTTTCTCTCCAGATTTGAGCTAATGGGTGGTAAATCCTAATGTAGTGGGAGGATGGCGCCGCTCCAATTGAGTTGGGAACCGGGTCATTCAGGATAACATTCGATTCCGCGCTAAGAACATTCCTAATGCATTCCGCAGTCGGGACGAAAACTAGCGTCATATCATAGTGGTTGTTGTACAACCAGACATACCTATGATCGCAACTTCATAGCCTCGTAGCCGAATTTGAGACGTTTGTGCCGCGTGTTTTGTGCCGGATATCCTCTCTGGGGGACGCGACACGGGTCGGGGCATTGTATTGGATCGGGGCGCTTCGCGCGAGGTTGGCACTTCGGCTGGGTAGCTGTGTTTCAAATTATCGGCACGTCTAATATCCTTCAGCGCACTAGGTGAGTTTGATGCTTGCGTTTAGATGGAATGTTCGGTTCCCGTTAGGACAGCAGGGGCTGATCAGGACTTTGGGGGGGCTGATCGTTATTGTAGAATGTCATTCAAAGTACCTGGTGGTGAATCTCACGCACACAGATATGGCTGTATATATGTATATATATATATATATATATATATATATACAGCAAAATGCACATGTATATATACAGATACACATAGTATTTTGACATTACCGGGGGGGGGGGGGTTCAGACTCATGTTGCTGTGCTGCTCGTGGAATGGCTGTGTGCAGATATCAGTAATCTGATAATTTGGGTGTCACGATGGAATTAACAGGTCAGTGGGAACCCAGTCAACAGAATAGTGGGCAAAGCTACTGCTTGAAATGGTATTTTATGCTGTTGACACATTTAACTGCTCCAACAGTATCAGGAGAAGAAACCCACAGAATTTACTGCTGGAAATATTACATAGTATGCACATAACAGCATACATCAAACCATTTTGGGGACTAAAATTATGGTTTCAGTACCTTAGTACCTCTTGCCATTTGCCCCCCCCTCCCCCCACCACCATCCCCCTGAAGCCACCCTTGTGAGGCTGTGCTGGTTTCACTTTTCAAATGGATATGAACAGTCCATGTTGACATTTCCTATAATCAGACATTTATTGAATGGCACAGTTGTCACAGAGACAGGTGTGGTTAAAAAATATGCTGCAAAAGCAATTCATATATCCTCTGGCAGCCTGAAAAAAATCCATCCACTGTGCCAGAGGCCTACATGTTATGAATGTGCTGAACCTCACCTTGGTATGTGCTGAACTCAGGCCTTGCCAATTTATGCTTGATTTTCAAACCATTACTGTGACAAATATCCAGCTTTTAGCTGTTTAAAATGAATTTTGAAAATTTCCATATGGATGCATGCCATGATTGCTTGAAACATTGCCAGATATGCTCCTCCCAACATTGTCATTTTGGTCTGGATTTTTAATGTCATCTTGTTAAACTTAAATTGAATTTTGCCCTTAGTCTAGGCATTTGTTATCAATATTTTTTTCTGACAGGAATCAGCTCAGATCTGGTGGCATTTGTTGTTTCCAATTACCAGAATTGGTAGGCCATCAGTATTTTGGTAAACAACACCACCTTGATGCCATGTGTAGCTGCACTTAAACTTGGCTCTGGCAGGAACAAATTGAACAGGTATCTTTGTTTACCACATGTTAGATGTTAGCATGTCTGTTGTAGGGACATGCAGCAATCAGAGATGGTGATTGATGGTTGTCCTTACCTCTGGCAAGATTTGATTAGGGTAAAAATATTTACCCTTAGCTCATCAGTGCATGCACTGTCACTGGTTAGCCATATGAAAAACTTGAATAACTTTGTTCATTCTCAATGTGTAATCCCACAAGCCTGTCCTGAAGTGCATAAGCCTGCCCATATGAGGGATGTTTCCATCATCTAAAGATGGTGCAACCAAACTGTTTAGATTGCTAAGTGCATTTGCAAGGAACATTGTGCACATAAATAAGGCAGTAGTGGTAGCCTTATTCCTTATAGAAAGACCAGGAAAATGGAGATGTAGATTAGTGTGCCGGCAATTTGCCTGGATCAAAACAAATGGCATAAGTAAATTTTCTGCCAGTTGTATTGACATAGGCATGAGGCCACCACATCAACACGTCTTTATCTCCATTCTCTTGTTTTTTTTTCTATGATGAATAAGGCTATTACTATTGTCTTATCCATGAACTGTGCAGGTTTGCATCCATTCCATATGCAATGCAATTCCAAATCAATTCCATATGCATCCATTCCACAGCAACTGTTGTTTTCAATGTGACCACATGTCTGAACCACTAGCTCGGGCTGGCAAACAATCCACCCTAGGGGAAGAAGCCATGCAGCTGGTCCATGCCATTGGCTGACACCATCCTGCTGCGTACCCCCTCAGCCTGCCACAGAATGAAGAAGGGTGAGCTAGCGCCACTGGAGCGGCAGTCGAAAGTCAGAGAGCATGAGGAGGGGGAGGAGGAGGAGGAGGAGGTGTACTGCATCTGCCGCTCAGCCGACAGCACTCGCTTCATGATTGCCTGCGACAATTGCGAGGAGTGGTACCACGGCGACTGCATATCCGTCACCGAGCGCGAGGCCAAGCACATCAAGCGCTTCTACTGCCACCGCTGTCGTAAGCGGGATCCCGAGCTGAAGATCCGCTACAAAGACAAGAGCCGCGGCAGCCGACACGGCGACGAGCGCGGCGAGAAGACGGAGCGCAGCGAGAAGAGCGACAGGAGCGAGAAGGCTGAAAGAAGTGAAAAGGCCGACAAGAGCGAAAAGGTCGACAAGAGCGAGAAGACGGACAAGAGCGAGAAGGCCGACCGGGGCGAGAAGGCTGAGAAGAGCGAGAGAAGTGACAAGAGCGACAAGGGTGAGAAGCGACCCCGAGAAGAGCGCGACAAGCACCGCGACTCGAAGAAGGCGGCGCGCGCTGAGCGTGAGTCGGTGCCGCCGCCGCAGCCGCCGCCCCCACCTCCGCCGGCGTCGGTGGCGCCGCCGCCAGGGTGCGGCCGCTGCGCGCCTTGTCAGCGCGCGGCCGACTGCGGCCGCTGCGCCGCCTGCCGCGACGCGCCGGCCTTCGGCGGCGCTGGCCTCCAGTCGCGGCCGTTGCAGGCGGCGACTGTGCGCCGGCCCGCAGCCTCGCCGCCGCCGCCGACGTCGCCGCCGCTGCGCGAGGACGAACCGGCCGGCGCCGCGGCCCGAGGAGGCGGCGCCGGCGCCGGCGCCGCGCCGGCGATCGAGTGAGCCGCGCCGCGCTGCCGGCGCGCGTCGGCGCAAGCGCGAGCTGTCAGATGACGAGGTACGAGGCGGACGGATCGGGCAAGCAGTGCTACGGGCCCGCAGTGTGTCAAGCCCAGCCGGCAGGGAAGCCGCTACTGCTCCGATCAGTGCGGTCTTAACCTGGCCAGGAACAGGATCTTCCAGGTGGGGTGGCCGCGACGGGGTGGGAGCTGTCTCAAGGTCGCTCGGTGTAAGGGTTTTGCAGCACCGGGTGACTAACATACCTGTGTCGGAACTGTAATTAGTCTGTGCCGGAGGGCATGCGCCAGGCAATGACGTCAGCTGCTCATGTTTTACCCGTCTCTACATCATCCGCTGTTTTGTTCAACTCATATCGCCAGCCATCTCTCGCCAGCTACCTCCCGCAACATGCATCGTCGCACGCCCATTTTGCAGTGACATGTCTCACTGCGTCCACCAGCAACGCATGCTTGGGCGTTCTCCCTACCCGCACAATGGCGCTTTGGCGCTACCTGTGCGATACGGCTCCACTCTCCTGTCTGAGCAGTTGCTTGTCATGTGAGAGCGTGGAATGGCTGTAGCGGCCGAACTGCACTTTCGTACCAACCATTACCATGGTGCCGACACGCGCTCGTGGCTCTGACCCAGCGCCGGGGCCGCGCCGCCAGGTGCTGCCTCAGCGCATCCAAGAGTGGAACATGACACGCTGCGTGGCCGAGGACCGCAACATGCGCACCCTGGAGCGCATCCGGCGCGAGCAGCTGGAGGCGCAGACGCAGCTGGAGCGGCTGACGCGCTCGCACCACGAGCTGGACCGTGTGGTGGACCGCGGTCGGCGCGGCACGGTCGACCCCTCGGCGCTGGAGGACGACACCGAGGAGGAGCAGCACAGCGTCCACTGCGTCACGTGTGGCCACGAGGTGGCCACCAGGAACGCCGTGCGCCACATGGAGAAGTGCTTCGGCAAGTACGAGAGTCAGACGTCGTTCGGCTCGCTCTACCAGACGCGCGTGGAGGGGTTCAACATGTTCTGCGACTTCTACAACGCGGCCAACAGGACGTACTGCAAGCGGCTGCGCGTGCTATGCCCCGAGCACAGCAAGAACCCAAAGGTAGGTTGGGGAAGGCAGGGGTGGCGCGCCCACAGACTGGACAGTTTACTTCAGCAGCCTTGAGGGTGAAAGCTAATGTTATGCCTTTGACATTCGATGAAGAAGTGGGAGAGTAATACCTCCCGACCTCCCAATGGTCAGCACTGGCGGGGATGTCTTGCGCGAGCAAAGTGGGAGCTGCGGGTGGGTGCAGTGACATGCACGACTCAGTTTGAAAGGGCGAGGGCATCGCCGGGAATAACGGGGTTTTAATCAAGACCGTGTCAGGAGGTGGCCGCCAGGAGCGACGGCATTGATCGTGCCACTATTGCACCAATTCCTGCCCGAGGATAAGTCATCTGGGCGTTTGTTGGCTTTGACGTCATAGACTGGGTACCCGACACAACAGCCCCCAGCGCATGCCCGGGTTTTCTCTGGCACAGTTTGACTCCGCGCTCATTGCCGCCGAATGACGAGGCTCCCAAATGTCCGCGGTTTCCTAAATTATCCTCGCTTGTGTCCCGTGCCTCTCATCCCAGCTTTTCCCTGTTCGCATGTGTCTATTACCCGTCGTCTGCCCATCCCCGGCCCCCCGCAGCTCACGTGTGCCGGTGTGTCCCCTGATCCGGTGTTGTCCCTGTCCGCAGGTGTCTGTTCCCCGTCGTCTGCCCCTCCCTCGGCCCCTGCAGCGCACGTGCGCCGGTGTCTCCCCTGACCCGGTGTCGTCCCTGTCCGCAGGTGTCTGATGACGAGGTGTGCGGCTGCCCCCTGGTGGCGGACGTCTTCACGTCAATAGGCCAGTTCTGCCGCGCCCCGAAGAAGAAGTGCCTAAAACACTTCAGCTGGGAGAAGCTGCGCCGCGCCGAGCTCGACATGGAGCGGGTGGGTACGGCGGGGGGGGGGGCGGGGGACGCTCGGGTCACGCGGGCCTGGCGAGAGCCGATGCCACACGTGTGTATCGGACCGCTGGGAGCGCGGCTGTGGAGCTGATGATGAGAGGACCCGATGCGGATGAGATGGAAGTAACGGTTACATTGTGGTCCAAAGATGTCAGCAGTGATACGTACTTACGTGAGACTGCGCTCTGGTTTGGATGGCTTATGCTTGCTTGCTGTGACGGCTTGAATAGGAACTATGAGAGGAGTGCGAAAGACTTTAACGTGGACGGCAGGGGCTTTGTCTAGGCTGCTGCTCAAGCAGGGATTTTTGCTTTACATGTGCTTGTACATTAATATCCATCCTTTGATGGCATTTTTGATCAATAATGAAATTACATCCCTCACGGCGTGCATTACCGCACGTCCCGTTGCCTTTTCGTGACAAGCATCCTCTGTAAAAGATGGTTACCCTTACCATTTAGGAAAACTGTCTGCAATGCCGCTGTCGTACTGAAATGCGGCTACTGCGAGCCAGTTGAGGGCATATGAATCTCTGGCTTTCTGCATCATCGGCTGCAGTAAGCGGCGCCCTTCGCGCTGTTCGAAGCCATTACGCTACAGCACATCTGTGGCGTTGTAAGTGTGCTTGGTCTGCACCAGGCGTCTGACCTCCCCCGACCTCGCCTGCCCCGTCGTCAGGTTCGCTGGGCGATGAAGATGGACGAGCTGCTGGAACAGGAGCGGCAGTGCCGGCAGAGCATGGCCAACAGGGCCGGCGTGCTGGCGCTGATGCTGCACTCCACCTTCGACCACGACGTCATGGAGAAGGTGCAGAGCCAGCAGAAGAAGATGGCCAGCAAGGTGAAGGTCAAGGTGTCCTAGAGTCATGCCAGGGAGGTGACTGTTCCGCGTGCAAGGTGGTCAGGGGGTTGGCCCACCAGTGGGACACCTTCGGTGTTAGCAGGATTGCAGCCGCGCTGAGGTGGCTGGCCGCCACATGATATCTCGGGTTAACCTGAGCTGGCTTGGGCTGCCCAACAACCGTGGCAGCCATGCTGTATGGGCTCGAGGTGTCCTAAAGATCGGAATTGTAGTTCTCCGAGTCCCCCAGATGAGCGTGTCCCCCTCAAGAGGTCCAACTGAATGCTATGCCGCGAAAGGTGGCCTTGATCAAGAATAAGGTGGGTCCGATCGAAGGGGATTAGTCCAATGTAGAGGAGGTGTCCAGGACGATGCTGGAGCTCTAATAGGATGGCTGCGCTGCCATGGGCTGAAAATGTGGCGCACCAATATGGGTTCTGCGATCACAGCAGGCTTGTGTTTCGTGGTGTGTTGAGCCGACGGGATGGCGAAGTTCAAGCAAAGCACCGACCAAAATATGCGTTCGTTCATATTCTCATTATGTTTTTTTCTCACCTTGTTGGCATTGATTGCATTGTAATTTGCGGCAATACATGCTTTGCTCGGTCTCTAAGTGTTTGCGTCTTACGTTGGTCTTACGCCCTGCTGACAGTGCTGGAAACTCCGACTAGCCAGTCACGAATCATTGTGGGGAAGTGAAACTGTGGTTGATAAAAGTTTGGACATCGAAGGTGTATTGGGAAGGTCACTCTTTTTCGAGTGAAACCTGTATTTCTTTGTATGTTTTTCTACAATCATATAAGTGCTCTTGCCCCATTCCCTTGCAGGGGGTCATGCAGCACTCCGCAAACACACCTTGGATTGAGTTTCAAACACGATCCTCCTTGGTTTGTACGGGTGAAGCTGATACGTTAATGGGAGACCGTGACTGGTAGCAGTCACGTCATTCGTCGCTGGTTCGAATTTGTTGCGTATGTACGCCATCTGCCGGTGTCGACGGCTGGTACACGATTACACGCGTCGATTCGTCCTCGGGGCGTGACTTGTACATAATAAACAGGAGCAAGCTGGCCACCCACCAACACCTAGACGAACACAAAATCCTCTAATTTAGTTGAAATATGGCGTTATTGATTTTTGTCAAGCTCGAGTGTTTACTTGTGCTTGGAGTTCCCTGTCTGCTTTCCTTGTTATGGTTTTGATGGGATAAACTGTACGTTACTCACGAGTACATGAGAGCGCAAGACGTTTCCCTATCTATGTTGTCCACCACATGAAAATGATGCACAAAAAACCGCCAATTAGGTGTCCCTGTCTCACTCTAGCTGAGGGCTATATTGGCAAAGATATCCGTGCATAGAGGCCTAGACGTGACCTTTCACCCCCACTTTGACAGTTTCATGGTTCACTCGGCATAACTGACCAGTAGCGTAACAGCCAGTGAAGTTGGTTTAGTCCGGTTTGGTCCCAATGAGTTTCGTCAAGTAGATTTATAACACAATTAAAACTACTGCTGCTTGAATTAAAGCCATCAGCCGGCATCTCATAACACATGAGATTACTGCGAAGCCGTCTGATAGCCACGTTGTCCCATGTTGAAAACGCGCGAGGCTTATATTCCCGACCTCGGCCTGGGGTTATTGCAGACCCCGTCACTCGAGCGTGTGACGACGATTCAGCCATATTTTGGATGTCACTCAACCCACAACCTGTTCTGCTTGTTGTTTATTGGAACACCATATCATGGAACTGCGACACAAATAACGTACATTCCATCGTCGAAGGCGATTCACTCTATTTAGTTCGGTCGTGGCCACTGACTGCACGTGCAACAAAACCCGTTTGATTTCACAGACTCTCACATAGTTGCCCCTACGTGCCAAGCTCCCAGTTGTTCCGAAACTCGTGTCGCATCAATAAAAACAGCAAAACAACACAGACTGTAGTCTGGACAGTGCTTGGGGTCAAGCGACGTTCGATCCTATGTGCTTCATCTTCCCTGGAAGCCCGGGAATGAAATCGCTGGGAAAACTGAATCGCACTGACAGTAGACTGACTGTTGGCTTAAGCATGCAGCTGTGCACTAACATCCCTGTGCTGCTTTAACCAGCATCCCACACTGAAGGCTCCAGGTTGGAGAAGAAGCAGGCATAAAGGACGAACTGCGGCCAAGTTTCATTCCTATGACAGTCGTGCTGGGTGACTTAAACAAGAAAAGAAAACGGTGCCCTTAGATAACATAGTGGCTGAAAGTAACGATGCAATCTGTAAAGGACGCCAGATGCGTGTAAGCCCCTAGAACACCCCCGTCCCTATCCCCTCCACGCAGGTAGGCTCGGATGCCTACCGCCTACCCTGTGCGGGTCTTCAGTGACACGTGAGTCGCGCACCGCCCGTCAAGCCGAGGACTGCGGCAGTGAGGTGAAGACCGCCTCGAACGGCAGGCAGTTGCGCGTGAGGCCCATGGTGGCCTCCTCCGTGGGCGGCAGCCGGCCGGGCGGCAGCGCGACGGTGAACTCGCGCAGCAGGCCGCCCATCATCAGGAAGTGGTACGCCTGGGCGTACTCCTCGCCGGTGCAGCGACGCAGGCCGATCCCATACGGCACCAGGTTCTCGCTGGAAGCGAACACACCGTTGCGCAAGAAACGCTCCGGCCTGAAGCGGTCCGGTTCGTGCCATAGCTGCTCGTTCCACTGCGTGCCGACGATGTCGTAGCGCAGCACGGCGCCGGACGGCACGCGGTAGCCGCCCACCAGGAACTCGGCCAGGCTCCGGTGCGGCACGCCGGCCGGTGTCAGCGACGAGCGGCGCAGTACCTCGGCCTCGAAGGCTCGCGCCAGGTGCGCATGCGGCCCGCTGCGCCAGCGCCAGCGGCGCGGCGCCGGCGCACTCGGCGCGCAGCCGCTGCTGTACGTCTGGGTGGCGCAGCAGGTAGGTGAGCGCCCACTCGCAGAAGGCGCTTGTCGTCTCGCAGCCGGCGTTGAGGAAATCGAAGAAGAACATGACCAAGTCCTCGTCCGTCTCGGGCCGCCAGAGTGGGTCCCGCTTGCTGGCACGAAGCCGTGCGATGAACGTGCCCTCGCGCCGGCCGCCGCCGCCGCGCACGGCCTCCGCGAACTTCTCGCGCACGGCATCGCGGTAGCGCAGCACGGCGCCGAAGCCGCTGCGCTCGTGGAAGAGCGTGCGCAGCAGCCGGTTGTCGACCCAGGGGTTCTGCAGCGCGGTCATCTCGGCACTGAACAGTGCCGTCAGGCGCCGCGTCTCCGCCTCCGGCAGCCTGTGGCCTGTAATGACGTGCCAGCACAGGCTCAAGTACCGCGGACGGAAGAGGCTCTTCACCTGCACCGGGCCGCGGGCCGCCCGCAGCTCGCTCACCAGCGCGGCCACCTCGGCGCCGATCATCGCCTCCAGCTCGGAGGACGAGGTGAGCATGTGGTGCAGCGAGGCGCGAACGAGGCGCGAGTTGCGGCTCCAGCGCGCGCCTTCGGAGACGATGACGCCGCGACGCCGGCCGAACGAGACGGCCAGCTGCGCTGAGCCAGCGAACCGGCCGTTGGCCGCCTCTTGCGTCATGGCGGCTTGGCTCAGCTCCAGGCCCTCCATGTACACGTTGTAGAGCCCGCCGGCGTAGAAGCCGACGACGCTGCCGAAGCGACGCGGAAGCGCCCGCAGCGTGTCGAAGAGGGCGTCACGCGTCGAAGCGCCGACGAAGGCGAGCGTGCCGACGATTGGCAGCGGTGTCGGTCCCGGCGGGCCGCCCGGTGGCCGACGCGGCCAGAGCAGGAGCAACGCGGCGGCGACCACCAGCGTTGCCAGCAGCGCCGGTGGCACGACCAGGTCCTTGGGCAAGCACCTCCTCCAGCATGGTTAGGACGGCGGCGCGGGAGCGTGGAGGTCAACTGCAGAGACGGCGAGCGTGGAGCGGTCTGACAGCGGTCGCCGCTGAAGGCAAACGGATGACGTTGGCTAGGAGAGACGGCGACGAGGCACGCCGGGCGAGGCGGGGCCACCGACGGCGGCTGCAGCTGACAGGAGGTGGAGGGCGAGCTCAGGCAGCGGCGGTTCCAACAGCGAACTCGCGGCACACGTTTTCGCCTACCGCACTTACCGTTCGTCCACCGCGCCTGGAGACGTCGCTGGGGTCGCCGAGTAAGCTACGGCTGGTCGCTGCAGGGGTCGTATGGCGTCTCCGCGGGATCGTTTACTGCCTGTTCAACATTCGCCAGGTGTTTCGTGACAGATCCGCTGTCACATGCGGCACAGTCTCCCGGAATGTGTTACTCGGTCGCGACTGTCATGACTTGTATGCCTCAGGTTTGCCCGGACTTCAGTTTTGTCGTGCAAAGAATGGTGCGCTTCTAATAGCCGCACAATTGGCGCCGTGGCATAGTCTGTGAGTGAACGACGAGACTACACGCTCATAGGCAGCCGAGCAGGCAGTTCACAAGGTAACAGAATAAATCTCACGGCTTATTACCGGTACAGAGGAAGTGGAAGTGGGATAGATCGGAAATTATTTCCTTAGCAACCCGCATGATTACTTAAACTTTTGGTTACGCGAACCTGACAGCCAAGTGACGCACTCGAGGACTAGATTTCCTACTGAATACGACGTTTCATCGCCTATTTTGTTGGGCCAATGCAGCTTTTCTCAATAACATGGCTTCCTATAAAAATCGACGTCATGAAATCCAAGAATGTAGCTTTTGCTGTGAGATCTGGATCTAATTTTGCTACTTCAATATATAATGAAGGTAAATTGGAACAACTTAGTCTACTTTTCTGTTGTATGCCATGCATTTCAGTAGGACTTTGTTTTAACTGATCACCAAAAATGCAGCTGAAATAAACCAAATGAACACTTGTACCAAATTTGATACCCCACAACTAAAATCAGCACTTCACCACCGATTGGATTATTGCCACTACTGCAAACGTTTCCACCACCAGTTTTAGGAAGTCATTAACTGCAAAACTGCAAGTTATCATGTCACCAAAGGCACGGAAAATATGTCCGGAAAAACATAATCCGCCAAATCGGCTGAGGTTTCACCAAATAAGTGAAACAAATCACCAAGAACTGGCAGGAAACCAAAACTTTGTACCAGAAGCTCAGATACTCAGCCATCAGTAAAAACAACCATATTCCGAGCCAAGTCGGCATTAACCTGCGAATGTTTTGGGGCACGGATGCCATTATTCACACTGGAGCTACGTTCTATCGAACACACCTTCAGATCCAGGGGTGCAGCTAGTTGGTGTGTGTGTGTGTGTCGGGGGGGGGGGGGGGCGCTGAAACAAGGTGGCTCCCTGTATCTAGGCACAGAGTGCTTAGCAAGGGCGGCTGTGCTGGCAAGGGGCTCCTTGTCGACCAGAGGTACATTTTGCGGAATGGCGATAGGACGGGACCCTACATTTCAGAGATCCACTTACGTTGGACGAGTTCCTTTTGCCTGCCATGGGATTGAAATACAGGAAATGGCCATGAAATGATCCACAATGAGACAGTGAAGGACCTGGCCAGTCACGGGCTATGATGCCGAACAGGGACCCCTAAAGAGCCCCTGGGCCCGAGCTCCAAAATGGACTCAGGACCCCGTTTGAGCCGGTTTTCTGAGAACCTTACCTGCGGTACGTGCTGCGTTCCACACACGTGCTTGGTTGGTGCATTTGATTGTTGTCATAATCGTCTTAAGAGGCTTTTTTGATTTGTGGATTTTGGGATCAGAGCTCACCCAAAAGCAGGGTTATTGTGTGTGCCCTAGGACCCCACTTATTAAATTGTGAAATCTCAATTCCACCGCAAAACTTCATGAAAAACCTTGCATGCACCGTAGCGCTTGGCACGGTACCCTGCCCTTTGTCCCCCTGACATTGGACAGCCGCTGCCACCGGCCGCAGACCATCCAAGTCAGAAGTCAAATAGCGAGCGCATGTAGACGCAGCCAAGATCGAAAATGCCGAAGCCCACCTCCACCTCGCCACCACGTTTACGTTATGAGTTCTCACTAGGTTCCACCTCGCCCTCCGTGTTTCGTTATCATGAATGTGCCCCTGCGAGGGCGTACATAGCGACTTGAACTCCCATACCGCCACGGGTGCGTTGGCATCGCTGGAAGCTGATACAAATTAGGCAACGAAGGGCTACCAGCTGTTCTTTAGGTTACGATTTGGCTTATTGCGGTGATGACCAGATTTTAACTGGCGCCATTGGTGATGAATCAGTCTTCTGGTGGTAAATTGGCCGTTACGGCTTGTTGATTCAGTTGGTGATTAAAATGTCCATTTTGGTGATGGAAGTGGATATTCCAGTAGTCCAATTAACTTTGTACCTTTCAGACGCCCTTGATTTGACGCGATAACAAAATCCATTGTTGTCGTTGTCATGGATACGAGTCTCCACATACTGGCACGGCAGCAATTGGGCGGATTAAAGTTTAAGGCGTGTTTAAGTGCTGTTTTTATTTATTCATGCTGCTGAAGACTTTTTTGTGTTGGCGTGACAGGAGGCGAGATTTCCTCCACTTACGACGTCATGTTCAATGCATTTTCCATGTTGGCATCAGTTAAGCCTGTAGCATAGCTTTATGGAATGGAAACTTAATTTTTTGTGGCCAGTGTATATTGCACAGGATGTGATCCCAACCCTAAATGCAGTCCAAGCTGACTGCAGCTGCAGATTTGTTTGCAATCCGAGTTTGTATGCAATGCAGTGCATCATGGGTAGTCCGAAGCTCAATCTATGTCCTCTGATTTGCATGATTTGGTGAATGCCATATCGTGAGTTTTGCGGTAATTTTTTACTTGGGTACCTGTATGGCCGACGGAGGGAAGAGCTACGCTAGCTGCAGGGTTTCGAGTATTGTCGTGCGGGGCAAAAGCTGTGAGGCATCAGCTAACATTGTGACGTCACTGAAAATGGTTTTGCATCGATCGGGATCGGGGTTCTTTCGGGCCGACTGAAGGCCATAAGGCTTTTGCTTGTGATATGATGTCACTGGTATTCGGCTGGGTATGTGACGTCACTGGTCGTGAGTGTGTAAGGCTCTTTTGGGTCCACTGAATGCCGTAATGCATCAGCTGGCCATGTGTCGTCACTGGTATTCGATTGAACATCAGGCGCGGCCGGCCTCGTTCCATCTTTACTTTTCGTACCTGTCTGCTGCAAGCATTTGCGTGCCGCATAAAGGTTTGACCGAATTACCCCAATGTGTGACGTCCCTAATCATCACTTCATACGAGTGCACTTAGGCCTCACGACCACGGTGTGTCGTGGTCCGCGAAGTATCACCGGATAGCGTGACGTCACTGGTATTCGAATAAAAACTGGGCGCAAGAGGCCGTGCTTCATTTTTACCTTTGTACTTGTCTACTGCAAGCATTGGCGTGCTGGATGAAAGCTGCCGAACCACCTGAGTGTGTGACATCACTGGCCATGAGTTCCAACGGTGCTTTTCGGCCAACTGAAGACCACAAGGTGTCAGCTAACGACGTCACTGCTATACGACTGTAAGACGTCAATGGCCGTGGGTTTCCACGGGCCCTATAGGACCGACGAAATGCCGTTAGGCATCAGCTGGCGATATGACGTCACTGGTATTTGGCTGAACATCAGGCAACAGGTCATGCTCCATTTATACCTTTCGTACATGTCTGCTGCAAGTATTGGCGGATTTTTTTGTGCGGCCAACTGAAGACCATAAAGCATCAGCCAACGATATGACGTCGCTGGCACTCGACTGTGCGTGTCGCTGGTCATGAGGTTTTACGGCCTCTTTTGGGGCGACGAAAGGTCATACGGCAATGACTGAAGATGTGACGTCACTGGTATTCGAATGAACTTCGGGCGCGACAGACCATGTTCCACCTTTATCTTTGGTACCTGTCCATTGCAAGCATTGCCGTGGAAGGCTCTGCCAAATTACCTGAGTGTGTACGTCACTGACCATTAATTTGCACACTCTTTTGAGCCTACTATAGGCCACAAGGCATCAGCTGACGATATGATGTCACTGGGTTTCGACTAGACAGCATGCGCAACAGGCCATGCTCCATCTAAGCCATGTTTCGTCTGTACCTTTCGCACCTATCTACTGCAAGTATTCGCGCGACACAGGGGCTCTGCCGAATTACCTGAGCGTGTGGTGTAACTAGTTATGAGTTAACGCGGGTTTACTCTGGCTGACTGAAGGACATCAAGCATCAGCTGACGATATGACGTCACTGGTATTCGACTAAACTTCAGGCGCGACAGGCCATGTTCCATCTTTACCTTTCGTACCTGTCTCTTGGAAGTATGGGCGTGCTGAATGAAGGCTCTGTCGAGTCTCCTGAGTAAGCAACGTCACTAGTCAAGAGCTTTTTACGGGACCTTTTGCACCCCCAAACGGTATAATGCATCAGCTGATGATATGACGTCACTGGTGTCCGACTTAACATCAGGCGCGACAGGCCATGTTCTATCTTTACCTTTCGTACCCGTCTATTACAAGTATTGACGTGCTGAACGAAGGCTCTGTCGAGTCTCCTGGGTGTGTAACGTTACTGGTCATGAGTTTTGTCTGGCTCCTTGGAACCCTCTATAGGGAAAAATGCATCAGTTGACGGCATGATGTCAATGGTGTTCGACTTAACATGAGGCGTAACAGGTCATGTTCCATCTTTGCCTTTCGTACCTGTAAAGTATTGGTGCGTTAAATGATGGCTCTGCCGAGTCACCTGAGTGTGCGACGTCACTGGTCATGAATTTTTACCAACTATTTTTGGCTGAGCGAAAGCCATAAGGCATCAGCTAACGAAATGACGTCACTGGTAATCCACTGAGTGTATGACGTCACTGGTCATGAGCTTTTACGGGCCTTTTTTGGCCGAGTTCAGGTCATTAGGCATCAGATAACGTTATGGCGTCACTTGTATTCGAATTAACATCAGTTGCAATAAACCATGTTTCATCTTTACCTTTCGCGCCTGCCTACTGCAAGTATTCGTGCGCTACAAAAAGGCTCTGTCGATTCGCCTGAGCGTGTGGTGTAACTGGCCATGAGTTTGTGCAGGTTTACTCGGGCTGACTGACGGACATCAAGCATCAGCTGACGATATGACGTCACTGGTAATCGACTAAACTCCAGACGAATCATCTGAGTGGGTGACGTCGCTGGTCATGAGTTCATACGGATTCACTTGGGCCGCCCAAGGCCACAAAGCAACACCTCCCGTGAAGCATCACAGGATGATATGTCGTCACTGTTATTCGACTTAACATCAGGTCCAACATGCCACGTACTTTCTTTACCTTTTGTACTTGTTTATTAAAGGTATTGACGTGCTGAATGAAGGCTCCGTCGAATCTCCTGAGTGTGTGACGTCACTGGTCACGAGTTTTTTACGGGCTCCTTTGAACCCATTTTAGGTTATAATGCATCAGCTGACGACATGACGTTACTGGTGCTCGACTAAACATCAGGCGCAACAGGTCATGCTCCATATTTGCCTTTCGTACCTGGCTGCTGCAAATATTCGCGTGCTATATGAAGGCTCCGCCGAATCACCTGAG